ATATGTGGTCTCTGAGAGGAAATCCTTGGATGAAAGTATACTTGTAAAAGATTACTACCAGTTGCAATTTAAAAGAAAAGAAAAATGAGATGAAAAGTGACTAGTGCAAGAGAAATAAAAGAGGATAGCAGGGGAGAATACAAAGAAGGAAAATTTTACTTGTGTATGAAATACCATAATGAATGGTAGCCATAGAAAACCTTTAATTAAAGAGTTTTACTTGGGCCTTCACTGTTGCTACTTACTCATCAGTTTGACATAGGTTGGGCATTATCCATATCAGGAATTCATACGGAGTTCATGAGACCAATTAACTCTTAAGGTTTGACTATAAAAATGTAACTCACTGGCTCATATATTTTCACACTTTGTCTCCAGATGATCAAATTGTTTTGTGATGCTTTGGAATCACTAAGAATAGAGACCTAGCTTGTGGATAGAAAAAAGTAGGGAAATATCTTGAAGCTTAGAGCCTGTTCCTGTTTCTAGTGCTGTTTGCCTCCTGGTCAACCAGTATGTGAAGAGGGGAATTGTATACTCCTTCCAAAATGGTGAAGCCTCTCTAGATGCAATGTCTTTCCTGCTATAGTGGACTGGTGCCTCCTGAACCTGGGATCCTAACTGAATCCTCCCTCCCATAGTCCTTGCTCTAGGGATTGTGCCACAGGAATGAGAAGAATACTCATAGGGGTTATCACAGCTTTATTTTGTATCTTTATTTGTTTCATTTTTCCATCCTTCCTTGAAGAATTTCCTGCATCCAAGAAATATCAAACATGTTCTCACTTGAACAATCCTAATGTATGCCTAACAAAGTTTAAAATTTCTATAGTCACACCAGCCCTGCAAGAATCCTCCATGCAACAAAATCGTATTTCTTTCTATTTCTCCCACAATATTTGATGTTATATGTGCCAGAAGTTCTTGCTTCATGTATTTATATATTTCAATTGAAGCTTTTATTACACTTAAACTAATTCACATATTTTAAAGTAGGTTTGTCCCAAAACTTTGAGGACACATTTTAAATAATTTAGAAAACAAATGTTATTTCAAAGTCAAAATCATACACAAATATTATGAACAATGAAGTGACTGATCTTTAACTCTTATTCTATTCAATAATCAATTTTATAGCTTTAATGTTTATCCATTTCATTTTTTGAATAGGAAAATTTACATGTTTCTTCTTGTATAACATAGTACTATATTGGGCTGTAGAGATGGCTCAGATGTTAAGAGCACTGACTGGTCTTCCAGAGGTCCTGAGTTCAATTCCCAGCACCCACATGGTGGCTTACAACCTTATCTGTAATGAGATCTGGCACACTCTTCTGTGTACATAATAATTAAATAAATCTTTGAAAAAACATACTACTACCTCCTGTGATTAAGTCTTTACTCATTAACTTAATACATGCAAGAGACTAATAGATATCAATCAGTTAGGAGAACTGATTTGAATTTTCCTTCATACCATGGCAGAAAAGTTGTAGCATGAATCTTAAAGAGTCTTATTAATAAAATCAAACCTGAGCCAGGTATTGGGGTGAACTGGAAGATTAGAAAACCAGAACAAGCCACAGCTAACCTCACCTGGCCAATTTCTCAGCTGGTCTTGTTTCCTCAGACTGGAAGCTTCTGTGTCCTCATCCCAATGGCTCTCAGCTGAACTGCTGCTCGAAAGCCTGAAGCTTAACCAGCTAAAAGTTTAACCAGCCAAATGCTTAACCAGCCAAATGCTTCTAGTTTCTGGTCCTCACGCCTTACATACCTTTCTGCTTTCTACCATTACTCCCTGGGATTAAAGGCTGGCTTTCTGGGATTAAAGGCATGAGTCACCATGCTTGGTTGTTTCCACTGTGGCCTTGAACTCACAGAGATTCAGAGGGATTTCTATCCCTGGAATGCTAGGATTAAAGGTGTGAGTGCCACCATTTTCTAGCCTCTGTATCTAGTGGCTGTCTGTTCTCTGACCCCAGATAAATTTATTAGAGTACACAATATTTTGGGGAACACAATACCACCACATTTCCCCTTTTTTGGCTAAAATTTAAAAGAGAAAAAAAAAACTATCCAAAAAGTATATACAACATATACACAGTCAAGATTACATTAACGATGTCTAGTTCATTAACATTTGACAGATTCAGATAAAAACTTCATTATAAATGTTAACAATGTCCAGTCCAGTAACATTTGATAAACTCAGACAAAAAAATTTTATTACTTATCTAATTTAAAACAAGTAGTTTCTTATTAAAAATAGATTCCATCTCCCTTTTTATCTTATCATATCCATATTCTATCTTTTTTCTTTTCATAATAGACTCAGTAGTCTACCTTTTGTCATTTTTTATATCTTCCCATTTTTCTTTTTAGTGTAGATTCAGTGATCTACACATTTATCCTATTATTTCTTTACCTTTTTTTCTCAGAGTAGATTCGATGATCTATCTCATATCTACATTCTCTTTTTTTTCTCTTTCTAGGGGTGAAGCTATCTTTGGGGAATCTTGAAAAGAAAATTTTTGGGTTAATTGTCAAGTCCTGTATCATTTGTCCAGTAGCTGCATAATGAGAAAGTGCAGGGCTTGTTTCAAGTCCTTGTTCAAGTAGTCTGTCAGGCTGAATCATCTCAGCAAGTCATCTCAAGATTGTCCTGAACAGTTTGTAGTCCAAAGTCGATCTTTCCTTGGTTTTAATCAGCTTAATGGCTTTATCATAGTCCATGTGGAAACATCTTTGTGGAGTTCCATCATCCTTTTTGAAGATTTCAAAGTTGCTGTTAGGCATGGTCATGGATCCCTTTAGATTTTTTATTTTTTTGACCTCCTCTGTGGTTTGGAGTAATCACAGTCTGATAAGTTTCTGTCTCTCAGAACCATGAACATTCTTCCCTAGAAGAGAAAATCTTCACAGCAATTTCTCCCCACCATTTGTCTTGCCAAACTTTTCCAAACTGACCTTTGTCGATGTTTTCTTGTAACACGATGGTCCTGGCAATTGTTCTCTGAACAAGCAGCAGTAAACTCTTCATCCCAGGTAGCAGCATCACTGCAGTCACCAACATGATGAGAAGTAGCCTGCAACTCGGAGCAGCAGCCACTGCCTCCATGGTCCCACCACTGTTTGTGATTTGGTCCGGGGTGAAGCTTCACCCAAGCCTCCTAAGCCGTCCTCAAACTCAGGATCCTCCTGCCTCTCCCTCCTCCAGTAAAACCTACATACATGTGCCACCACAACTGGCTGAGTGTAGCTCAGGCCTGACCTGGGGCCCACAAGGCCACAAACAAGCAGCTTTTTCATGAATTCACACCACGAACGTTGGGCACCAGATGTAGAGGGAATCTTAAAAGTTCTTACTAATAAAATCAAACCCAGGCATGTACCGGGGTGAACACTGGAAGATCAGAGAACCAGAACAAGCCACAGCTAACCTCACCTGGCCAACTTCTCAGCTGGTCTTGTTTCCTCAGACTGGAAGCTTCTGTGTCCTCATCCCAATGGCTCTCAGCTGAACTGCTGCTCGAAAGCCTGAAGCTTAACCAGCTAAAAGCTTAACCAGCCAAATGCTTAACCAGCCAAATGCTTCTAGTTTATGGTCCTCACGCCTTACATACCTTTCTGCTTTCTACCATTACTCCCTGGGATTAAAGGCTGGCTTTCTGGGATTAAAGGTGTGAGTCACCATGCTTGGCTGTTTCCAATGTGGCCTTGAACTCACAGAGATTCAGAGGGATTTCTATCTCTGGAATGCTAGGATTAAAGGCATGAGTGCCATCATTTTCTAGCCTCTGTATCTAGTGAGTGTCTGTGCTCTGACCCCAGATAAATTTATTAGGGTACACAATATTTTGGGGAACACAATACCATCACAAAAATAGTCCAATGTAGTGGTGGTAGTGTTGCTCTTAATGTTGGTAGTGGTGGTGGTATGGTAGTTCTCTGTCTCTATCTCTGTCTCTGTCTCTCTGAGTATGTGTGTGTGTGTGTGTGTGTGTGTGTGTGTGTGTAATAATTTCTACAAAGAAACAATTAATTTGAAAGTAAGAGGGAGAAAGACATGAAAGGAGTTTAAAGGAGGAAATCCTCTATTGGAAATGATATAAACACAGTACTCACTTATGAAATTATAGAAAATTAAATAAGTGTGAAAAATAAATCTGGAAAAATACCTTTGCCTGTGCCTCTACCTTGAAGTGTTTTCTCTGGCAGTTTCATAGCTTTGTGTCTTGCATTAAGGTCTTTGAGCTCTTTTGAGAGGAATACTGTCCTCTGTCCTCGAAACTCTTCCTTTTGCTTGGTTGAATCTATTGAAAATACTTCCAACCACAGTTTTAATTAGACATAATGAGTTTTTAATTTCTAACACTTCTATTAGATACATTTGTTTAAAAAATCATTATTTTCTTTCTTAATTATTATTTTGTGAATAATAATAGAGGCTCAGTATTCATGTATCTGGAACCTGTATACTTCTGTATGAGTTTGATACAGTGAACGCTTTAATACAGAAGTATTATTTCATTATATGAAGCCTGTGGCTGAGGGGGCTTACAGTCTTTCTATGTCAATATCTGTGTGTTTGTTTGTTTTTCTATGCTATTCTTGATGATTCATTCACCTCTTCTGCATCCTTCTTTACTGTATCATTGAGAGCTGGATAAGGCACATGGTTTTTTGTAGCTCTCTAGAATTGTACTTAAAATAAGCTATTTGAATTTAATTCAGTGGAATGAATGATTACATTAGTCAAGAAGTGAGAGACAATACAAAAAAATAGATAAAAACAAAAATAAAGAAGTTGGATTGTCAGGACTTTCATCTAGGATCAAAATTTTCAAATGTGTGTATTCAGATATTCTTCTTAGCAATGCAGCAGCAAACTCTTTTACTTGACCACAGATATAGTGGGGAAGTTTTAGAAGGAGCATCGGACTACTTTCTTTCTAGGTTCTTTCCCTCATAATTGAATTAATCAATACCAGACACAAAAGAACATTAGGCAAAGGTTTAGTTGAAAGGGGAAACATTGAAATCTGGACACCACATAGAAGAGAGAGTGTTTTTGTGAAAACCATGCTAATGAATGGAAAATGACTTTTTTCTTGTTAACTACATCAATGGATATCTTTAGTGTGATGTGCTTCATCTCTTATTTTAAACTAGGCCTTGAGATTACATTGAGGTCCAATCAAACAAAATCATGTACAGCTAGTGGTTTGAGCTGTCAAGCATAGCAGGGCCATTTCAGTATAAACCTGTTTTTATAATCAAGTATCCCATAGATAATTTAAAGGACAGCAGGTCATTCATAAGATTTGTTATTAACAGTGGTTTTGAAGATGTCAGCATATATCCCAGAATGGAGAGTCACTTTGGTTTTTGCTTGGATGATAGAGATAAGTAATTTGTCTCCCTATGTGTGAGGCTAAGATGAAATAGGGTAAGGGAAGTGGGAATGGTTTCAAATCACGACTTGGGGTCCAGTAACCCTTTGTCAGAGTGACTATAAAACGTTGTTAATGTAATTGAGAGAGGCCATACATTCCAAATATTGTACTTTTTGAGAAATGAAAACTCAATTAAATATAGAAGATACATAATTATTCTGATAAAGCATAGTCTGTCCAAAGAGATTCTATACATCAGAAATAAAATATTTTGTATCTGAAGACACTGGAAAATTTACCAAAGAAAATCTTTCATGGATGTGGAGGGGCTGCCTACCCCCCGATCCCACCACAGTTCCCCAGAGTTCTCATGAGTAGGAGCAGTAAGAAATATTACATAGAAGAATATAGACGGGAGAGATAAAGATAGAAAATACAGGATAGCCTCAAGAAAGCTTGGAACCTATTCCATCAGCCCCCACAACTGTCTGTGCCCTCGGGTACTTACAGGAATGCCAAGGTGGTGGAGCAAAAGAGATGCCCCCTTCAGACCACAGCCAATGCAGACCCTCTCAGGCACCTGTACTCAGGCTCATGGTCCAATAATCCCCTCTATGCAGACCTGTTGGGTAAAGACACTAGGACACCTGAAAATGGGATTCCACATATAGACAGGTGATTTCCTCTGCAATTTTAGTTGGTTCCACAACTTCTTTCTATTCTGTTATGGGAAAATTCACCTGCACATAGTTAGAGGTATGGCTTTTCTGGCCTACAGGGAGGTTAATAAACACATATGGAAAATCGTTGTGTTAGATTTTCCTCTGGAGAAATAATACCTACTCACACCAGATACAGAATCAAAGAAATACAAAAGTAATTCCACCAAAGTACAACATGGTAAACCAATGAATTTACTGAGGTTCCTTATTTACAGTGGCATGGAGGAGACAAATCCAGCTCTATAACAAAAAGGTCCTATTCATGAAATTGGTTATAACTCACAGCAGTGCAATCCTGTAGCGGTATGCATCATGTTGAGGTCATTTCACAAATCATAGAGAATCATATGAGCACCCAGGAGAGTCAAAGATTCCCCTCTCCTCAGTAACTTTTTAACATTTCTATAATTTAGAGAAAATGACTTGTCTATATTTTTTAAGTCTCTAGAACATGTTTAGATTATTTAATTCTTTAGACAAATGAACTTGCCTTCTGTCATCTGTAAATAATGTTTGAATGAGGAGAAGTGCCAAAAAAAGAGCCACATGAATTTCCACCTCTCCACTGTCTGGCCCTCAACCATAGTAGCCACTATTTATATTTTAGAACTTGGCTCATATAATCTTTCTCCAGATTTGACTTTGCTGTAAGCATTTGGTATTGCTTTACAGATTGGGTCAAGTCTCCAGAATGTTCTCATTCTACTGATTTAGTTTCTCTGCTGTTTTTCTCACTACTAGACAGACTGGCATAGGAACCATATGTGGATTTACCTTTATTGCTCGCATACTTTCTCTAGCTCAATTGGTCTTTTATTTATTTATTTATTTATTTATTTATTAACTAAATGAAACTGATAAGAAATCATAAAATGACCTAACATGGAATCTTAGCATTAAAATTGATCAATAGATTTAGAAGTTTATATTTCTCAAATGAGAAAAGGTTTATCATACAAAAGAAGAAACTGATGCCATGAGTTTGTATGTTAGTCTGATGTAATCTAATTTTCTGATCTTAGATAATATCAGCCCTGTTCTGAGTTATTATTTACTCAATCAAAATATGAATTCCTATAATTGTCTTTCTAAAGTCAGAAATTACAAATCTTGCTTGTAACTTGTGAGGTGCTATACCACTGAAAAATACTTTGAAGTTTTCAATGAAGTGAACCCCTTGAGCAGAGATTTTGCTGCAACCTACTCAGAGCACACTTGACATCACTGTTCTTCAGGCTGTAGATCAAAGGATTCAGTGCTGGAGGCAGAACAGTGTAGAGCACAGAAAAGAGCCTGTCTGTGATTGATGGTACATCTGAGGGAGGCTTCAGATAGACAAAGCAAGCAGTAGCTATGAAAATAGTGAGAACAGTGAGGTGGGGGATGCATGTGGATAATGCTTTGGACTGACCTTTAGTAGTAGGAATCTTCAACACAGTGGAGAATATGTAAAAGTAAGAGATCACTACACAAATAAAGCAGGATATGCCTAGACACACACCAATTCCAAGACTCATATAAATGCCCAAAAGTGTTTGGGGGCATGAAATCCTTAGCAATGAGGAAACAGCACAGAAAAACTGTGGGATCACATTGGAGCCACAGAAAGGCATGGAAAATGTGCCAGCTGTATATATGGCTCCAAAGAGTGCCCCAGTAGCCCAGGAAACACCCACCATAAGAACACAGGCACCACCATTCATAATGACATCATAGTGCAGAGGACTGCAAATGGCAACATAGCGGTCATAGGACATGGCAGTCAGGACAAATACTTCTCCTGCTGCAAATAAAGTCATTAAAAATACCTGGAAGACACAACCAAGAATGGAAATGGAATTGTTGTGAGTTAGGCTATTGACAAAGAAATTTGGAATGGGAACAGACACAAAGAAGACATCCAACAAGGACAAATTCTTCAAGAAGAAGTACATGGGTGTTTGAAGCTGTAGGTCAATGGTGACAAGAGTGATGATGATGAGATTGCTTATTACAACTGCCATGTACATCCCTAGGAAGAGCACTCCACATAAAGTCTGCAGCTCCTGGATGTCAGAGAACCCCGTAAGGATGAATCCAGTTATTGCAGTGACATTGGACATACTGGATTCTTTTCAGGCCCTGTCAGAAGGAAAGGGAAAAAATGAATAAATATGATCATCACCCTAAGTAATAACGCTGATGTACAGAAATGTTCAGTGGAAAGGAGTTCAAGAAAGTATGTAATTTACAAACACACTTTCAAAAATACTCTCATTTCTTTCTCTCTGCTTCTCAGACTCTTGCCCACCCCCTCTCCTTATTCTTTTTGTGTATATCTCTCCATCTTTCTCCCCTCCCTCACTCTCTTCTCTTTGACTTACCTTCTCTCTCTCTGTCTGTCTCTCTCTCTCTCTCTGTCTCTCTCTGTCTCTCTCTCTCTCTCTCTCTCTCTCTCTCTCTCTCTCTCTCTCCAATCTTGAATTGTCCTTAAGGCTCTATACATGCAAACTAGGTTTTCTATGATTCAGCTCCAGAACCTTAACTCTTCTGAGTAATATAAAAAATATGTGCTATTAATTAGTGTATAATTTTAAGTCTATGATCATAGTTAGTTTAGGAAGAAATTTTCATGGTGTTAGGAAGGACTTCTTTCCATTTAAGTATTCATAAGCTATTATTTATTAATATGTCAGCAGGCAATAAGAAAGAACTTTGAATATTTGAATGACAGTGTCATGATAGTTTTAAAGATATATCTAAAAATTACCTCAATATGATAATTATGCACATATCAAAAATTATATTACCTCATATAATATACAATTACTATGCATCAATATGCAAAAACAAAAGAAAATGAAGAAAAATTAATACATAAAAGTTAAAAATAAAATGTAATGGTTACTTTTAATCTTGCAGACACAAACTTGGATTTGTACTAGATGGCTATGAGTTTGGAAAAAAAAATGTGACCATTTTACTCAACATTTTTTGTCTACTCTTTTTTAACAGTTTTCATCAAGAAAATTGTAACTTAGATTTATATAATGCTTTACCTAAAACCACTGCAAATGTACAGTGGAATGCAAAGGGTCAGATAAAAGCTTAACATCTCTACCACAAATTACTTTGCATTTGATTGTCTTAAGCATTCAGAGAAACTGAAGCTCAACTGAGGACAAGCACTGTGTCTACCTCTAGCCAGTAGTGCTCTCCCTTAAAGGTTGAAGAAAAGATAGATTACCTAGGATGTTTTCAATTTATTATCAGAATCTTTTACATCATCTTCAAAGGACCACCCTGAAGTCTTTATTCCTTTTCCTAAACCTTTCTTGAACAGTGGAGGATTGTAGGCAGATGACTCACTGATGAGGCTGACCTGATTCTTACTCATCAGGAGGAGTAACAATCAAACTTGGAAGAAATATCAAACCTTCCAAATAATACATCTGGCATGTATACAGCCTGCAAAGCAAATCAGGATTGCTCATCCTGACATTGCCCTTTAGGTTTAACAGGGATTGCCTCTCTAAACAGAGTCAACTGTAATTACCTGGACACTGTTGAGACACTGTGTGATCAGACTGAGATGAGAATCAACCAGACCACAGCCTGACCCAGTAGTTATTAGGTATTTTCCTTGTTTAATCTTGGAGTTCATGTCAATGTTTCAGAATACAGGGCTATCCAATGTAGTTATATTTGCTAAATCCCTTTCCTAACTTTCTCTTTTATATTTAACACTTGATTTCTGCCAAGATCAGATTCTCCTAATGTGCTGTAATGAAGCCAGTATCCTGATTGCATAGGTTTCCTTTAAATAAACTCCAACCAAATATTCCCTCATTTTCTTGAGTATTTTTATAACGCTATGTTGTTTGAAATTCACTTTTCAACATTATCTGGTATTTCCGATACAATTCAAGTGCTATATGTTCAAATTGTATTATTTGGTTACTAGGTCAAAATTATTTAGATAATTCTCTTATTACAAGTAGGCAAATCTCTCATTCTCTCTCTCTCTCTCTCTCTCTCTCTCTCTCTCTCTCTCTCTCTCTCACTCTGAGTGTATGTGTGTGTGTTTATGTGTGCATCCCATGAATAAATGATTGAGAGTAATATATAGGGTATGGGGGCATCTTCTCCACTAGATTGGGCAAAGTTAAGTATGTACAAGCATGTACAAATATTTTACTAAACAACAAAAAGTCTTCAAATAGCATGATTGATTGCAACAAAAGATCATGATTTATTTAAGCAGTCAGTTGGCTGCTTAAGCTGAAAACAATTCCACCAACGTTGCCAGGACAAGTACATAGGAAAAAGTCCTGTAGCGATGGCATTTAGGAAACCACATCTCTAATACAACATAAGATGAATTCTCTCTGGAATATTTACAAAAAAGCTATCTGAATACATAGGAAAAAAATGTTCTACTGGGCTGAGATTCCAGACACTTGTCAGAATAATATAACCCTCAGGCTGGGGAAATACAGAAAGAGGGCAATTTGAGATATAAAGGTAAATAAACCACTACTAATTTACATTGCTTTTAATAACCCTCCCAATTACTCTATATCTATAATATTTTTAAAATGTTATAAAGAGCATATTTTAACATTTTCCCAATTGAAATTTGTACCTTACAAAAATTCAGAGTCTTCACATTCCTAGAAAATTTACTCTAGATTTTCCAGCAGGTTGAATTGAGAAGATAATTTTTTTTTCAAATCTGTAAGAGCTCGGTATAATATTTGATCACCTGAAAGGAAAATAGAACATGTAACTCTCATTAGGAAATTCTGATATCATATTCATATCATATTGAGGTTGTTATAAAACTTGAAATTCTGAATTCATTTCTCCTCCAAAGAAAATATAAGCAACAAGGAAATATTTTACCTTTTTATAAATTTTGATGTTTATTCACTTGAATCCATATATATAATGAACATATTTCTAACAGACCTTTTAAAGTCACTTGCTACTCCTTGGGAGTCCCAAAAGGCAAATCTTTCTGGATAGCCTTACTAAGAATCCATGTAAAGACAATTAGTGTTGCAATAATTGCTGTTTTCTAAAAAGGATAGTTATCAGTTCCCAGAAGATACATTAAAATAGGTCAAAAGGAATATGGTCATATTTTCCTCAGAATTAAATTAATAATTTATTTGCTTAGCTACACCATGAATAGAGTTGGAGACAATGGTAAACTAGGAAAAAATTTACAAAATGTAAATTTAGGGACTACGTTTAAAGACTCCTGTAATCCCACTTGCATTAATAACTTTTCTCAAGGCTGTGGAAAAATATATGGGGGAAAAAAGACAACATGAGAAAGGAAGGACTGAGGTTAGCTCATGCTTTGCAGGTGCAGTGCATCAAGGCAGAGAGTGAATAGTCCAGGATCATGAAACAACTGGACACAGTGTACCAACAATGAGAAGGCAGAAAATAACAAACTATACAGCGATACTGGTAATCTTTCCAGCTTCTGTTTTTATGCCCAGGAATTAAATATAGAAAATAGATCCACATACACCCAGTGTACATCCTCCTACCAAGCTCAGGCCTCACAGGAAATGTGCTTAGAGACACTTGGTCTCTAAGTCTTTAAGCCAAAATTATAAATTTCATTAAATTGATAGTGAAAATTAACCATCTCAACTCTATTCCTTGTCAACTTGATGCCCAAATACATCACTTTTAAATCATAACCCTTCACAGTGGTTCTTTAAGTCTCATGTTAATTTTATAATGACAAGTAAATTTACCACACCTCTAAATATCCCTAAAGTCTTAGGAGTTCTAATAATGTTCAAATATCTGTTTTCCATGGTCTCAGAGAGTTCACCAAGTGGTTAAAAACTGGTACAGCTCATGCCGAGGACTTGAGTTTGTTTGCCACCACCCACATTAGGAACCCCACGACAGTCCATAACTCCAGCTCCAATGACGTGTTCCAAATTCTGTTGATATCCTCAACCACATGTATTCATGACTTCATAAACAGAAGTAGACATAAATTTAAAATAAAATTGATATTTTTATGTGTATGATCCAATTTTCTCTGGAAACTCAGAGCAATCTCTTGTGTGGCCTTTATACATTCAATGACACAGACTAAAGATTCCCATTGTAAAACAGAATAATGAATGAAAAGTAAGGAAAGAACATTTAAAAGCAAGATTAAAATCAAATGTGGCAAACATAAAAACTTTTATGTCTGTATTTAGAATCTGGGGGTTTATGATAGAATCATCTGCATTCCCATAGCCTCGAACAATCCCACTCATGCATATCTCCAACTTGTAGCTCATGTCATTGTACTGGCTCTACAGTACATCTGCAGCTTTCCTTGTTAGACACACCATGCGCTTGGTATTGCAAACACCTTGACGTTTCATTGTATACTTAGGTTTACTGTCCCAGTTCCTTCTCAGACCTTACTAGAAGGAAATCTAAAATAACTACTCACATATTATCTGGCCTCTGCAGCTTCCTAGAATCTTTGTTTGAGTCTCCCTTAACTTATCATTTTCCTACACTGCATTCCAGCAAACTATTGTGTATTAAACTTGTGATACTGGTGATTTCTACTGTCAACTAACATACAGCTTGGATCCTGGACCACAGTTTCACTCCCCTGTTTATGCCTTTGATGCTGATCTTGGGGAAATATTTCCCTAAGTAGGAATTTTGCAGTAGGGAATCCCTAAAATATGCTTAGTTGAGGATCTTTTCTTTCAATATGTTAACAAGTTCATAGGTGGTGTTTTACTCTCAATGGACCTTCCTATATTTCCATGTATGAAATGGTGTCTTTGAATACTGGAAGGAACTAAAGATGTTTTGTCTGTCTTCATGGTTTACAACTTTAAATTTCATTAAAATCATTCCTCACCATTTGTAGGCTATTCTTATCTTTCAGAAGAATCTCACTGTATGTTTGACTAAAAGCCCTGATTAGTAACCACACCACTGTCTGAATGTCATGCTTTCTTTAAGGTCCTATACCAAAGAATTTAGTCTAATATGTTTGAACTGATTCAACATTTCAGGATATTGGGAGACTGCATGCAGGTTCATTGTTAGAGTACAACAAAAATGCTTTGAGGCCGGTTTACGATGCCAATAGATCCCGTGTTTCCCTTAGAGCCTCAGAAGTCTCCACTGTTTCATTTTGCTAGAAATTTTGACCTATGAAGATTTCTCCAAAATGTCCCCCTAATCTCTGCATTCTTATGCTTTAAATTCTCCCACTTTCCTCCTGTAAATAAATTCTCAAATATTAGGAAACATATACTCAGGTTAATCATAGCAAGAAAGCAACTCCCTGATTCCAATGTTCTGCTATTTACATCTCAGGCTATTATGACAAAATACTTAAAACAACAATGTAATGAAGTATTGCTCTTTTGCCTCATTGTTTGCTCATAGAGTCTATCACATTGGGGATGTGATGATGGCAGATTCATGAGGTAGATGGTCAAAATGCATCTGTGGTTAAGAAGCAGAAAGAGGTGAATTCTCACACCCCACTTACCCTCACATTTTGATTAGTATGGGATTGACCCTACACCACAGAATGGTATCCCACAATAAATGGATGAGTCTTCCCAGCTCAGTCAAACATCTTTGAAAGTGTTTGTATCTGAGGTGATTCTATTGCTTCTAAATCACTAGCCAACAAAACCATCCACACTATTCCTAATGCCTTTTCATCTTAATAATTTGACTCTGAGGGAATAGGTAAAGACTCTGATACTAATGTATTCACATATTTGGTAAAGAAACACACGATGCCTTGAAAAACTTTGCTCAGTCACCAAAGTCAGTAACCATGAAAAGGAAAATTAATCAAAATATTTATTTGGTTATTTGGACCCTAATATTGAAAGATGCTCATTAAAATATTTAGCCACAATAACTCTGAATTCAGGTCCCAGTTGCTATCATAAAGAAATGAGTGGGACACACATCCCCTTTTAATATAATATAATTAATATAATATAATATAATATAATATAATATAATATAATATAATATAATATAATAATATAATAACATGAGTTGTAGTTGTCACCACAACTGTTAGCTAGTTTACAGATGTCTCCACTGAGCATCACAATAAAGAATACCTTGTACAAATTTAATAAATAAATAAAATAAAATTAGTTATGTTCTTCAAAGACAATTTTAGCTCCAGTATATAGTAAACACTTCTAGAAAAACCACCCATATGGGAAAGCGAGCTTTATACTAGGACACTCCTTAAAGGACGTAGTTTAAAATGGTCTATGATGACTTTAAGGTTATACACATAGATCTGTACATTTCTCAACCACCACTCAAGAAATTCTAAATTACAGTAGATAGTTGTTAAAACTGATAACTAAAACTCTCTGAGATGAATAGAATAAGAGTCAACAGAATTTTCAGCCATAAGGGAACAAAAACTTTACACTGCACCTCCAGTCCCCAAGGTTCAGGGATCATTTCCAAAGAGAGTTGGAAAGAAAGAAGGGTTGGATGTGGAGGATGACTGCAAGGAAGCAACTTTTTGACATAGAGGAACAGCTGCACATATGAACTCCTAGAGGTTATGACAGTGTGCATACAAGCTATTCAGTCCTAACCCAGACCAATTCTCAGCATGGAAAGAGGAGTTGAAAATTAAATTCTATCCCTAGAAGAGGAGGATTCCCAATATTAGTTACTGGAAAAGAAGGGGTTGATTTTCTCTAAGAGTTTAGTACCCAGTATGTTACGCACTCTCTAATGGCAGATCACCATGCAAGAAGATTTGGGCAGCACACATTTTCTTGAAGAGTTATAATAAAAACAGCAAAACGTTGAGTGATAGCAAAGTCAGTTAGATCCAGGAAGAATTGGGACATGAATGTGATAAAATAACTGTATGAAAGTCAAACTCTCAAGGAATTAATGAAACTGGAATGAATAAATAATCATCATAGAAAGATTGGCTTGGTAAGATGTACTTTATAAACTGCAGGTTCCCATGAATGTATTCAAATTAATCAAACATGGATTCTTTTATGTATGTTATTCACAGTATTACTAAAAACATAGATAACAGAATAATATTTTTAATACTCATTTCCACAGCTGTAATATTATTATTCTCCTAAAATTACCTTATTTTCATATATTTTTATTAATCTGAAACATGTTCAAGTCCAGGTCAGGGAGAGAAGTGAATTTAAGAAACAAAGCTAGTGTGTGGTTGGTGTTACAAGTGACTATTTACTTCGTGGCAATAAAAGTCTCAGATTTGAATTAAGATACTGATTTTTCTAACTCATGAGCATTCTCTCTGCTTTAAGTATGACCATATAAAATTTGCAATTAGTTCATGAATTATGCTGTTTAAAATCATCTTTCACTCTAAGATATTCTAATTTCTAAATTTAGAATATATTCAAACTTAAAAATTGTAAGGCTGTTATGGATTACTAGCAATTAGCTTTTGTCTACATTTCCCATCTTTAAATACTTCTCCACATTTCAAAAATCAGAAAGAGCAAAGTTGAACATTAATCTAATAATTATGTCTAGTTTCTCTTTATGTCCATCTCCTTCTTCATGTATACCACAAAGTGTACTTTATCCTAATCTCACTTCTGGAACTGAATGATGTATGAAGGGGTCAGGCTTGATGGAGAGAGCCATGTTCCATTTGTCTTTTGTAACTTGAAATAATTCAGTGGTTCTTCAGTCCAGTTTTTCTAATCAGAGCTTTGATAATATTGAAGACCATAAGACAATAAATTATTTAAGGACATATGTCTTCTTTTCTGATTCTCTGTACGTTATTCACAGTTGTATCTATGTTTGCATTCCTGGTCCACATGCTATAGAATAATAATCTTCACAAGCACTCCACATTAACTTGTCT